ACACACGTGGACATCACGCTAAGGGAAATGACACACGTGGACATCATGCTAAGGGAAATGACACACGTGGACATCACGCTAAGGGAAATGACACATGTGGACATCACGCTAAGGGAAATGACACACACAGGACATGAGGCTTTTCACATGTTTCTTAGGGACACTCAGAAAAATGTCTCAGCTGCCATTTTTTCCAAATTTCCAAGAAAATCAAGCATAAGTCAGAGGGAGCGGGGACCAAGAAGGGAGACATAACTGTAAGCCCTACCCCCGAATGTGTGGATGTGGTAGTGGTGGGGCAGAGGCTGGAGGGTGGAAAACGGCGGATCATTAGACCATGTACTCAGGAAGGACTTAAGTACGACCGCAGATACTGAAGCTACAGTTTGCAACCAAACAATGATCGTTTCATTTGGCCTATGAAGCCATATGAAGATGTGTAAACACGCCAACATTTACCTCAAAAGGCAGAGAGAACTGTGTACTTAAAAGCCTGCAGTCACGATAGAATTAACGTACGTGGTCTGCTAAAATAACATGATCCTGTGGTCTCTACAGAAGTTCTGGTGTTGCAGTGGTTAAGTGCTCTGCTGCCTACCGAAAGGTCAGCAGTTCAAACCCACCAGCTGCTCCATGGAAAAAGATGTGGCAGTCTGCTTCCATAAAGATTACAGCCTTGGAAACCCTATGGGGCAGTTCTACTCTGTCCTATAGGGTTGCTATGAGTCGGCATCGACGTGACAGCAATGGGTTTGGTTTTTTTTTTTTTTTTTTTTTTGGTGGTTTCTAGCGTAGTCCCTGGGTGATGCAAATAGTTAATGCCCTCATCTGCTAACCAAAAGGTTGGAGGTTGGAGGCTACCCAGAGGTGCCCCAAAAGAAGGACCTGGTGATCTACTTCCAAAAAATCAGTTATCAAAAACCCTATAGAGCACAGTTCTACTGTGACACACATGGGGTTGCCATGAGTTGGCAGATGACTCCACAGCAGCTGGTCTGTGGTGGTCGCTAAACAGTGAGCTACATGGTTGGAGGGCTGTGGCTTAAACCACAAAGGTGCCATGTCCAGGCATCCCCGTTCTGTCCCAGTGCTGAGAGAAACCATCTCGTGAGCTGCTCGTCCTCCGGCCGGGCACGTGGAGCACTACCAACTTGTTCTCTGCTCCCCTCAGGTTTTTACTCGCTGTCGGTGAGGCACAGGCAGGTGAAGCATTACCGCATCTTCCGCCTGCCCAACAACTGGTACTACATCTCCCCAAGGCTCACCTTCCAGTGCCTGGAGGACCTGGTGAACCACTATTCAGGTAAGCAGCAGCCTGCTCGCTGACTGCCCTGTGGTGCTGTCAGTCTAAGCGGGGGCAGAGATGGGCAGGGTTTGCCAGCTCATCTAGACTTGCCCTTGGCCCATCCTGCCTTCTTTATACGCTCTACTCTTGCTCACTCAGGCTGTAAGTTGCAGGCTAAAGCATTAAACCAAAAAAAAAAACCATTGCTAGATCACAACAGAGGGTTCTGGACAGAGCTACAGAAGGATGTAGAACAAAATTCTAACACACACAATAAAGACCAGATTTACTGGCCTGAAAGAGTCTGGAGAAACCCCGAGAGTACAGCTGCCAGACACCCTTTTAGCTCAGTGGTGAAGTCACTTCTGAGGTTCCCTGTTCAGCCGGGGACTGGACAGCCCCATAAAACAAAATGGGACTAATGAGGCACAGCAGTCCAAGGACAAGGACTAGAAGGCAGAAGGGGACAGGAAAGCTGGTGATAGAGAACCCAAGGTTGAGTAAGGACAGTGTTGACATGTAGTGAGATTGTTAACCATTGTCATAGGGCAACATGTGTACTAACGGTTTAATGAGAAAACTATTTTGTTCTGTAAACCTTCATCTAAAGTGAGAATAGCAGCACAACTGGAAGAATGTAATCGATGTCACTGAACTGTGCATGTAGAAATTTTGAAATGGTGTATCTTCGGCTATGTATATTTTCACCAAAAGAAAAAGGTCGAGAAGGGAGAGTGTTAACAGGTGGTGGGGTTGTTAACCAATGTCATAAAGCAATATGTGTACTGACTGTTTAATGAGAAACTATTTGTTCTGTAAATCTTCACCTGAAGTACAATTAAAAAAAAAAAAAAAAAACCCGTTGCCATCAATTCCAACTCATAGTGACTCTATAGGACAGAGTGGAACTGCCCCATAGGGTTTCCAAGGAGCGGCTGGTGGATTCAAACTGCCGACCATTTGGTTCGCAGCCAAGCTCTTAACCACTGTGCCACCAGGGCTTTGGCTAAGCCATACTGCCTAGGAATGCTGCCATAGTCAGCCCATTGTCAGCCCAACACGTCTGTTCTCAAATCTGTCCCTTCTCCACCTGTAAGTAAAACAAATTAAGATGCCTCTGTATTCATAACCGCAGACAGCTTGCACTCTCTGAAGTGGGCCATTGCACTTTGGGCCTCTGGGGTTTTGTTCTGAAAGGCTGCGCATTTCCCCTTTTCTGCATGTCAAAATCCTCTTCATCCTTCAAGGCCAAGGTCAACACACTTCCTTGAGGAAGTCAGTCATCGAGTTAGAATGACTTGTCTGAATTCTCTCCCAGCCCGCTGGTCAGGCCACCTTGCATTTCAGTGAATTGCGTTCTAGTCTGTGTCTCGCGGTGAGCTCTTAAAGATGAGACATTTTCTGGTACTCATTTGCGTGTCCTCCCTGGGCCCAGGAGAGAGGTGTGAATGTTCCAGGCTGACCAGCGCGGCACATCCGCCAGGATGCTGGGAGCCTCCTTTCGATGGAGGTGATGGTATAAGGCAGAGGCAGGACAGAGAAAGTCCAGTTAGACTGTGAAAGGCTTTGAACACCAGGACAGGAGTTTGAATTTTTCTGCATGGAAGATTGGCTCAACTTCCAAATAGTGCGGTGGTTAAGTGCCAAGCTCTGAAAGCTCTCTAGTCATAGTCCATGTGGGCTCCTTGGTCACTGGGCGACCTTGGGCTAGTTGTGTGCCTCCCCCGGGTGGTGTTCTTCGTCTGTGCGATGTAGATGTGTGTGGTTCCTACCTCGCTGTGATGTCGAGTCTGTGCCCGGACCACGCTGGGGAGAGCGCCTTGCAAATCTGCGTGAGCCACACTCACCGTGAGCCACACTAACTCAGCCCCAACATCTCATCCCTCCTGGCACACTGGAGGGAGGAAGAGAAGTGGCTTTCTTTTGCTTTGTTGGCGACTTCACCCTTCTAGGTTCGTTATGGCCGACCTCACACCCCTGGGCATCTTTGCTAGTGTTTTTAGGATGTGAGTCTTGAGCCGAAGAAGCAAAGGGCATTTCAAGAAGCAAACGGCCTTGAGTTCTAATACCTGGCCTCTGAGAAGCTTGTTTAGGAGGGAAAATGGCTGCTTGCCCAAGCTCTGACCTGGGCTTTGCCACTTCTGAGCTGAGTGAGGTCTCAGGCAAGGCCTTCCACTTCTTGGGGCCTCAGTGCCCCGCTTATGGGAGGTGTATGGGAACAGCCCCCTTGCGGGTGGCTGTGGTGATGATTAATAACAGCACAATCATTTATGTAATGTGTCCAATACAGCCTAGTACATGGTGATACAAAATAAATCATAACAAATATTACTCCAGTGATAGCTGAGAACCTAGCAGTTAGCTAAAAATGAAAGAGGAAGGGAGTCCTGGAAACAGGTAACCTTTAGTGATTATGAGTAAAAGTTGGTTGTGGTATTGGCTTTTAATAACAACTATCTGAGGGGTGTGGATACCAGAAGTTTTGCATAGACAGAAGCAAACTTGGAAAGGAGGCAGCCTAGCAAAACTTGTACCAACAGGGAGGCCTCAGGCTCCCAGGCCAGGGACACCCAGGTCCACCTTGCAGCTGTTCGCCCACCGGGAGGATCTTCCACCAGTGCAAAGGAATGCCTTCCTTTCAAAGACATATCCCTGGCTGTTGCGTCCACCTCTGCAAATAACTGACGAGGGTTTGAAAACCTGAAATTCTTCCTGTGCCCTTCAGAACCCTAAAGTGGAAACAAATGTAGCCAATTTTAACCTCCCACTAGGTGCAAATGGTTAAAACACTGGGCTGCTAAAGGAACTTGTCCCAGGTCACACAGCTAGTGGGCACCAGGGCACAGATTAAGCTGGGTGAGTCGACTCCTATGTCCTGCACATTGGTGTGTTTTTAATTAGGTTAATGGCAGGGTGGAGTCCTAGAGTGGTGTGAACCAATGGTTTAATGCACTCAGCTGCTAACCAAAAAGTTGGAGAGTCAAGTCGACTCAGAGGTGCCTCGGAAGAAAGGCCTGGCTATCTATTTTCCAAAAAAAATCAGCCATGGAAAACACTGTGGAGCACAGTGTTACTCTGACACACACACGGTGGCTGTGAGTTGGGGTTGACTTGATGACGCCTGGTTGGTTATTGGATTCTGAGCCAATGAGATGGATTTGGATCATATTTCTGTGGCCCTGAGCATGTAACTTGACCCCCGGATCCTCAGTTTCCTTATTCCAAAAATGAGCATGACAGTTCTGACCACATGAAGCTGACGTGGGGACTCAGTGAGAGAAAGTGTGGAAGGGTGGCACAGCACCTAGCAGGTGTTACACGCTTATAAGTGCGAGTTCTTTTGCTCTTTGTGAAAATTTCTCTTTCACCCAAGTATTAACCTCGATAAGGAGGGGCTTTCATGAGGTTTCCCTGCCTGGGCTGGAACCTGCCTGGGCTGGAGCCTGCAGTCGATTTCTCTAGAATTTGCATCTGGCTTCATCTCCCTCACCTCCTAACCTCGAGGTCCTTTCAATTTCCAACCCGTGACAGGTAATTATTTTAGAGTCGCATCCAATTAAGCTTTCCTCTGACCTCATGGTCTGATTTCTCATTTCTCTGCACACGCCCATGTGGGTGGACACTCGAGTTCACGGTGAAAGTCAGACAGAAAACCTTGAGACAAGGCGTTACTGACGGCCACCCTGTGAGAGCCTTCCCTTTTGTTCTTTAGCAAGGATGCTGAGAACTCCATCAAGACGGTGTAGAGCTCGCAGGGGTCATCTAGGTCAATTGGTATAACAAAGTTCATAAAGAAAATGTTCTACATCCAGCTTTGGTTGGTAGTATCTGGGGTCTTAAAAGCTTTCAAGCAGCCATCTAAGATACATCTACTGGTCCCCTCTCATCCGGAGCAAAGGAGGATGAAGAAAACCAAAGACACAAGGAAAATATTAGTCCAAAAGGCTAATGGACCACAACTACCACAGCCTCCACCAGCCTAAGACCAGAAGAACTAGATGGTGCCCGGCTACCACCACCAACCGCTCTGACAGGGATGGAAGTAGAGGGTCTGGGACAGAGTGGGAGAAAAATGTAGAACAAAATTCAAATTCACAATAAAAGGACCAGACTTACTGGTCTGAGAGAGACTGGAAGAACCCGAGACTATGGACCCTGGACACCCTTTTAACTCAGAACTGAAGCCACTCCTGAAGTTCACCTTTTAGCCAAAGATTCGACAGATCTATGAAACAAACCAGGACAGACATGAGGAACGTGCTTCTTAGTTCAGGCATGTATATGAGACCAAAAGGGCAACACCTGCCCGAACTCCATGATGAGAAGGCAGGAAGGGACAGGAAAACTGGACGGATGGAAACAAGGAACTGGGGTGTGGAAGCGGAGAGTGTTGACACATCGTGGGGATTGCAACCAAAGTTACAAAACAACTTGTATATAAATTGTTGAATGAGAAATTAATTTGCTCTGTAAAGTTTCACCTAAAGCACAATTAAAAAAAAAAAAGAAAGAAAGAAGGTAGAGGGTATAGACCGTCAGAAGGTAATGTGCGTGCGTGAGTGCATGTACGTGCCAAACCTGTAAACTGATTCGTTCCGGGCCCAGAGGTGGCCTAGCCCTGCTAGCGGCTAGCCACATCTCGACCCGTGGACCTTTCATCTCCCTGTGATATGAGAAGCTCCGGGGTCTTCAGTCTGAAAAGGCCACACAGTAGTTCTTCAATCTATAAGAACGCCTGAGGCACAGCCAGAACCAGGTCCTCCACGAAGAGCTGGAGGTTACCTAGATCATAGCGTTCCTGGAAGGATGATGGGTCCTGGAAGCTCAGATATTTAATAGTAGCCACGGAAAAACAGAAATGGATTTATTTAATTTCCATTCTCTTTGTGCATGACTATCTAGGCTAAAGAAGAGAGATTTTCTGCATTCTTTCTTTATCCATTTTCTCTCTTTTGCCTCTTTAGCTTCCTTTTTCTCTATCCTACCTTCCCATGTCTTTCATCCTTTTTGTGCTTTCTTTACTTTTCCTTCTGGCTTCCTCTCTCCCTTGTTTCTATTTGTCTTCCTTCCTTCCTTCCTCCACTCCTTCGTTCCTTCTTCCCATGCTCCCTTCCTTCCTCCCATGCTTCCTTTATCCTCCTTTCTTCCTGCAAACGTACTGGGCTCACCGATGCTGTACTAAACGCCCTTCTGTGTACTTTGGCGGAATGGCATCGGCACAGCCCAGCGGTGCACACAGACCTCACCCTGTGAGTTGGTGGGAGGAACTGTGCCTCGGTGACAGACCACCGGGGGCTGCGGAAGTGTGCAGCCGGGAGCCGTAAGGCATGTGGGGGCAGACTCTGTGCTGGATTCCCCTTGGTGCACAATGTCAGCTGCCCTGCCGTGAGCATCGGCCCCGCAGGCAGTCTGCCAGGGGTTCTCGCTTGTTGGCTCGTTCCTCGAATCCTGCAGGAGGAAACTGCAGCTCAGAGAGGCTAAAGGCCATTTTCCATCAGGAGTGAAATTCAAACGCAGCTTTGGCTGATTCTAGATTCTAAACTCTTTTTTTCTCTCTGTGCCTGTGATGAAAGCACTTGACTGCTAATCGAAAGGTCAGCAGTTCGAAACCACCCATCGGCCCCATGAGAGAAAGATGTGGCAGTCTGCTTCCATAAAGATTCACAGCCTTGGAAACCTCTGGGGCTGCTATGAGTCGGGTTGACTGACGGCAGTGGTTTTTGTTTTGTGGCGCCTAGCTAAAGGCAGGGTATGTTCAGGTACAGAAACATTTCTCCAGTGATCGATGACTGACATCAGCCTTGTCACTGGCCACCATGCCCCTTTCCAAATCCTGCCGTTTCCCTGTATGAACAACCAGAGGGCTGTGCTGATGGCCCCAGGCCTCACGCCGCGGCAGCATTCCGCGCGTCACTAACCAGGTGCCTTTCTCTCCCCAGAGGTGGCTGACGGCCTCTGCTGTGTGCTCACCACACCCTGCCTGACCCAGAGTATAGCCACCCCCGCCGTGCAGGCACCCAGCTCGCCCGTCACCCTGCGCCAGAAGACCTTTAACTGGAAGAAGGCATCCAGGTAGGGTGTGGTGTGTGTGTGTGTGTGTGTGTGTCTATTTAAAAATTTTTTTTAAAAAAAACTAAAGTCAGAAGTTTTAGCCATCCAAGAAGACAGTGGTTCAGAGAGGTAGAATGATTTGTCCAAGATCACAGGCTGCACATGTAAGACCCAGAATTAGAACAACTGGTTAGAGAAATGTTAAACAAGCTCTTTGTTTTTTTCCTTCCATTTCTCCTTCTCTTGTCCACCATCCCCTCCTCCCTCTTGTCCCTGTCTTCTTTCCTCTACCCTGTTCTTCCCACCCTCAGACTGCAGGAGGAGCCCGAGGGAGCCGGGAGCACGCTCGGCGTGGACGAGTCCCTTTTCAGCTATGGCCTTCGGGAAAGCATCGCCTCGTACCTCTCCCTGACTGGTGACGACAACCCGTCCTTCAGTGGGAGGAAGAAAAGCGTCTCCGTTATATACGGCGAGAACAAGAGGAAGAGCTCCTTCTTCTCCTTGCCGCCCTACTTTGAAGACTAGCCCAAGACCCATCACCGTGCTGTGTGCCAGAAGGAACAGGGCTTCGAACTATCGGCTGGGAAACTGCTGAGAAGCAGGGTCCCCTGGTCCCTGGAGACCCTCACGTCTTCCAAAAACCGAGAGGCGCCCACGGAGACTCAAACTCTCATCTTCTCCACCACATCGTGACGGAAGGCACCCTTCCGGGTGTCTGATCAGGACAGAGATGTCACAAGTATTAAATGATGACTCAGTGGGGCACCGTTTCAGAAGAACCCCGTGTGTATGTGTGTGTGTGTGTGTGTGTGTGTGAGTGTGTGTGTGCGTGTGCGCGCGCGCTGTATGTGTGTATGCACTCCACCAAAAAGTGCAGAAGGGGTGTTCCCCAGCAAACTGCCTGAGTGGTCACACACTGTGATCATTCAAGAAAACTCCTGCAGGAGAAAAGCCTGGGAAGACCATGAACCACGAAGCGGTGGCCTGGCAGACATGGGCTTGCAAACTTCTCCCTGCACTGAGCTTTTTTAACCCATCCATCCAGAGACCTTGGGCTTGCACCTCTTCTTCTTTGAAGGGACTTCAGCGACACTAAATGTTGGCCTTCCTTATTAGCTGGCTTCGTGAGACAGTGAGGAACCCAGGGAGATGCTGGGGATGGGAAGGAAGCACAGAGGCCCCCTGTACAGACTTGAATCAAGAGATACCTTTGGCAGACTCCTGAGACAAAGCCAGATGTGCAGATGTGAGCAGCCTCCCCAGTTCTGAAGAGGGCAAGACAGATGGGAGAGGGGAGGCTGCAGGTGGGGAAACAAAAAGGGGGACCTGGAACTGTGTGGGCTTTCATGATGCCCCAGACAGGTCTTTGCAACACATAGAGAGCGTCTCGGGTTGCTGTGATTCTTGCCTATATTAATGCATCAATCATTCATTCATAATTGCCTACAGAAGCACTGTGTTAGGTCCTGTGTAAGACGCCAAGCCAAAACAAGATGACTAAGCCCCAGCTCCCAGCAGAGACACCCACAGTATAGACAGGGAGAAGGGTGTATGAAAAAATGATGTGAATGCATAGAGAGCTGTGGGGTCTAAAGGGAGAAATCAACTCCTAGCTTAGGATGGGATGGAGGGCAGGCGAGGGGGGATCCAGGCACTCCTGATTCGGCTGGATCTTCAGAGAGTGTAAGGATGGCTGGATTGATGAGGTGAGAGTGGTTGGATTATTTTCAAAAAAGAAATTGATAAAGAGTCGCTATCAGTAGGAATCGACTCCTCAGCAACGGGTTTGGTTTTTTTGGTTTCTTAAAGAATTAATTCATTCGGTATTTTATTCTACGAAGGGTCTGGCATTCACATGAATAAAAATGCTGATGAGCTTGAGGGAAGATGAGAGAGAGAGTGGTTAATCCTGTTGCCCGTGATTCTCAGCAATGAGGGAGAAAACGCAGGGAAGACACAGGGAGGACAAGCCCTGCCGCCCACCGGATCCTGTGGGGAAGGGGCTGTGGAGGACCCGGGAGCTCACTTTCCATGTTTCAAAGGGCCTGGGGGAAGGGTATATGGGGCATCTCTTGTGCCTGTTGGGAGAAGTCTTTCTGGTCACCAGAAGCATTCCGTGGATGTGAGGCCACCGGGCAACCAGGACACGTATATGCATTTACATGATTTTTTGTATGGTCAGACTCCTGTGTGTTTATACAAGCAGACATTGTGGCTTCCTCGACAATTCCAAAATGCCTGTGATGTAGGGGACAGCCAGCGTGTAAGAAATGAATGTAAAACTGTGGACATTGACTTCCACCCAGGCAGGTTGACCTCACAGACTCCAGATGCTTATACAGTGTCTTGTGTATTGTTTTCCTTTGTGAGTAATGTGATTGGAATGTTTAGGGGAATGCTAGGAGGGATTTCTAAGGGGAAGCATTACACTTTGCTAAATCATGTATTTATTCCTGATTAAAATAAACCTAATACGTACGGAACCCTTGGAACCTAGGAGAGCTTCTTGGGAGCGGTGGGTGGGAGGTTTGTGCAGAAACCCTGTGGGCTTTGAGTTTTCAAATGAACATGCAACAGGGCAGAGATGGAAGCCACGGACCCGCAGAGGGCCTGCTCTGGCTATCACTGCAGCCTCCTCTTGGTGAGCCTTAGCAAGAACCAGATTTGGGTCTTATCACACTTGAAGGTGGACACATGGGCTGGACCAAGGGAGAGAACAATTCTCAGCCATTGTTATGAAAATTCTGTGCCTCACCTAGATTCTTCTGCATAGCACTCGTGATACCTGTCTGTGCTATTCAATCTAATAATTTCTTTCTTCCAGCATTTTTTGGACACCCACTAAACACTAGATCCTGCTTTAGGGACTGGGGCTATAGCAGTGAAGAACAGACGAGGTCTCTGGAAGCATGGAGCTTGATATAAATAAACAGGACACTTTCCTACTGTGGTAGGACTATGCAAGAAATAGGCACACATTCCTGGATTGGGGGGTAGTCCTTTAGGTAAGATGCAAAAGGAAGTGTGCCCCTCCCCACCAGGGCCCTGAGGACCATAAGACGCCTGGACTGTTCACCTTGGAAGTATTATGAGAAAGAAAATGAGAAAAGAATAAACTTATTTGTTCTTTAAGCTGCTTCAGTCTAGGGTCTCCTTGTTACAGAAGCTTAGCATTTTATTGCAACTGGTACAGAAGTAAAACCTACTATTATTGGCAGATGATGAGATAACTTCATAGAAAACTCGAGAATCAACAAAGCATTAGAAGGAACAAGAGTTCAGCAAACTGTAGAATCAACTCGTTCCTCTACTTCAGGATTTGTTGTTATTGTTGGTAGCTGCCACTGAGTCAGCCCCCGACTCATGGTGGCCCCACGCGCAATGGAATCAAATGCTGCCCAGTCCTGTGCCATCCTTATGATCAGTTGTAGATCACACCATTGTGATCCATAGGGTTTTCATTGGCTGATTTCCTTGGAAGTACATCACCAGGCCTTTCTTCCTAGCCTGTCTTAGTCTGGAAGCTCCACTGAAACCTGTTCAGCATCATAGCAAGACGCAAGCCTCTGCTGAGAGACTGATGGTGGCTCCTCATGAAGTGCACTGGCCAGGAGTCAAACCCAGGTCTCCCACATGGAGGGCCAGAATTCTACCACTGAGCCACCACTCTCCCCATGTCAGGATTTACCAACTAAAAAATACGAGAGGAAAGAAGACTCCATTCACAATGCTAACTAAAACTATGGCATTTGTAGAAATTTGTCTCATAAAGATTTCACAAAACCTTGAGTCAGAATCGACTCGATGGCAACAAGTTTGGTTTTGGTTATGGAGGAAAGTTGAAAGCTCTATGAAAATACCTAAAGGAGGCAAAAACACGATGTTCGTGGGTGTGGTGACTTAATATGATTGACTTATGGATACAAGGTTTAACATCACAAAAATATAGATTTTTTTTCTGAAATTAATTGATAAATTCCATGAAGCTACAATCAGTGTGGGGTGGTGGGGAAAGAATTTTTAACTCAACAAACTTATTCTAAAATACATGTGGAAGCATCCAAGTCCATGACTAGCTTGGCCAGGTTTGGATAAAATGAGCACAGGAGACGGTGCTTACTCAAGGAGATAGAAAACAATGTGAAAACAGCTGAGACCAGTGCTCTGGGCCCCGCCCACCATCTCCCTCCCATTAAGTTAACGGGACTCAGTATAGCATTAAGCATCCCCTCTGAACCGGATGCTATGCTCAGAGTTAAGAAAGTACCAAGAGGATTAAGAAGTCCTTGGGAGGCAAAAAAGGAGCACTGGTGGCACAGTAGTTAATCACCCGGCTGCTAACCAAAAGGTTGGTGGTTCAAACCCATCAGCCACTCCATGGGCGAAAGATGTGGCAGTCTGCTTCAGTAAAGACTACAGCCTTGAAAACCTATGGGGCAGTTCTATTCTGTCCTATAGGGTTGCTATGAGTTGGAATCGACTCAAAGGCAACGGGTTTTTTGTCTTCTGCAGGGTGATACAAATGGTTAATGCAATTGGCTCCTAACCTAAAGGTTGGTGGTTCAAGTCCACTCAGAGACACCTTGGAAGAAAGGCCTGGCAATCTACTTCTGAAAAGTCAGCCATTGAAAACCCTTATAAAGCACAGCTCTACTCTGACACATATGGGGTCACAGTGAGTCAGAGTCAACTCAACAGCATCTGGTTGGTTGCTTGGTGGGTACTTACAGCTAAAGAATACAAGGGTTTTGCCCAAGGCCTGGGTCTTTACTCAAGCCTATCTGGTCCTAGGCATGGACTCTTTCTTTTAAATCCTGAGACCCCAAAGGAGCCGCAAAGTCCTGGGAGAAGAAGCCCAAGAGGCTCTTTCTTCACTGTGTGTTCTTTGGTAGGTCATTAGACCTCTCAGAGCCTCAGATTTCTTATCTCTAAGTTGGAAGTAAAATGAAGACCCCATGCCAATCAGTGTTAGGAATCTGTGAGATAATATATTGAAAGTGCTTGGTGGCCTTAATGGTCTGACTGAGACTGGAGGAACCCCAGAAAGCATGGCCCCCGGACTCCCTGTCAACCCAGAACTAAAACCATTCCCGAGGCCAACTCTTCAGACAAAGATTAGACTGGACTGTGGGGCATAAAATGATACTTGTGAAGAGTGTGCTTTTTAGCTCAAGTAGATACATGAGATTAAATGGGCAGCTCCTGTCCGGAGGTGAGATGAGAAGGCAGAGAGGGTTAGGAGCTGGTTGAATGGACCCAGGAAATCAGGGTCGAAAGGCTGAGTGTGCTGTCACAGTATAGGGAGAGCAACTGGGGTCACTTAACAAAGTATGTATAAATATTTGTATGAGAGACTAACTTGAAGTGTAAACTTTCACTTAAACTACAATAATAAACAAAAAAAAAGAAAAGTGCTTGGTGGCCCCAAAACGCTAAAACGAACAAACAAAAACCATTGCCATCGAGTCAATTCCAAATCATAGCGACCCTATAGGACAGAGTAGAACTGCCCCATAGGGTTTCCAAGGCTGTAATCTTTATGGAAGCGGACTGCCGCATCTTTCTCTCAAGGAGTGGCTGGTGAGTTCGAACCACCAACCTTTCAGTTAGCAGCTGAGCGCTTAACCATTGTGCCACCAGGGCTCTTGTGCTAAACAAATATGTTATTAATTACCATCACGGGAGTCTCTCTTGCCTAATGTTTCAACAATTCTGGCCCCAAGATTTGCAAAAAGACTTAAGATTTAATCTAAGGATAAATCACCATCTCACGTTCTTTCCCCAAACATCTGTTGGGAAAGAACACATTTAAGAACTGCTAATATATTGAAGTATGTTAGTTCTTTCCATTCCAAATAATTTCACACGCATCCCCAGGATGGCTAGGAGCAGTTGTCAAAGCTGCTTCTAAATGACTAAAACAGACGGGAGGGTTTATTTTTAAATATACTGCCATTTGCTGAAACAGATTAATTTTTCTAAATCCCTCAAACACCTAAACCCTCAAAACGAAAATGCATTTGGAGCCTGTTGGAAGGTGGTTTTGGAGTCTTCTGGGTCCTTGTGAATGTCTGGTTTCCGAGAATGCCCTGGAGAGACCTCTTCAGGACCAGCGCCAAGTCAGGAAGCTCTGTGTTATGCACTGAATTGCGTAACCCAAAGAGATGTGTGGACGTCTCAACTTCTGCCTCAGTCAGTGTGACCTTGTTTGAGGAAACAGGTTCTTGTTTTGTTTTGTATGGTGGGTTCTAATCCCTTCTGAGTGACATTTCATAAAAGAGGACAGACACAAGCACAGAGTCACAGACAGGGAGAAGACAGCATGTGAGGATCCATCTATAAGCCGGAGAAACGCCAAGAAACACCCAGGGCTACAGAAGCTGAAACAGACAAAGCAGGATCTTCCCCCAGAGCTGACAGAGAGAACATGGCCCTGCTGACTCCCTGAAGGCAGACATCCAGCCTTGAGAATTTTGAGAACATCAGTGTCTGTTCTTTAAAGCCACCCACTTCATGGTATTTCGCTATGGCGGCACTAGGGGACCAAGACTGTCTGTTTTCCACACCAGGAACTGAAGGCTGTTTGTCTCAGGCCTCCTGCTGCTAAAATGGACCCTCTTCAGAGGGGCAGCTTCAAGACAGCTCACATCAACGGACAAACGATACGAGAAGTGGGTGGGAGAAGGGAACTGGGGTAGCCTGTGGGCCCCTGGGCCCCAGAGCAAGCTCTGAGAACTCCACCACTCACGTGCTCACTCAGGGCCCAGATGTTAACTACTGAGCATCTATTGGGTGGTACACTAAGTTAGGGACTCGGGGAGCTGTGGAAAGCAAATTATGCATGGCCCCTGCTCTCCTGGAGCTTACAGTCGTTCAAGGGAGACAGACTTGGCGCTAGTAATAATCGTCGACTGATGGGAAATCATGATAAACGCTGTATAGGAGAAGTGCAGGCTGTCATAGACCATTTATATGGGGTCCAATTCTCTGAGAAAAGTCTAGAAGGCTTTCCTAAGGAGGAGGAGAGCAGATAAAGTGGGGGATGAGAGAAACGTGCTCCATGAAGAGGAAGCAGCCTATACACGGCAGAAAAGAGTGAGGACTCTTCATGGAACGTGAGAAGGCTCCTGGGGCTGAAGGAGACAGAGGGGGTGGCAGGTGGCACCGCTTCCTGTCTGGGATGGTGACAATGCTGGTCTAGCATTTGTTATGCCCAAACAATGACACTGTTTTTGCCCTCCTTATGGCCAATAGTTGAATCCTGGGAAGGCTGGACAAACTGGGTGTAGTTATGTGGCTGGACCGAGAGGGATTCAGCCCATGGTGTTGCTGTCATTGGTTCTCCATTGTTCCTTAATTTGTGTTACTTAGCAGTCTTCTTTTTTTTTTTATTGCACTTCAGGTGAAGGTCTACAGAACAAATAGTCTCCCATGAAACAGTAGTACGCACATTGTTCCATGACATTGGCCAACAACCCCACAACATGTCAACCCTCTCCCCTCTCGACCCCCTTTTCCCTTTTTGGTGAAAATATACACAGCCAAAGATACACCATTTCAAAAATTTCTACATGCACAGTTCAGTGACATCGACTACGCTCTTCCAATTGTGCTGCTACTCTCTCTTTAGATGAAGGTCTACAGAACAAAATAGTTTCTCATCAAACAGTTAGTACACATGTTGCCCTATGACAATGGTTAACAACTTCACAACACATC